CCAAAAGTTGTTTCTTTGAAAAGATCAATAAAATTGATAAACTACTAGCCAGCCTGGTCAGCCAAGAAAAGAGAGGCACAAATTGCCAATATCAGAAATGAAAGAGCTACAGACATTAAAAGGACAATAAGAGAATATTATAAACAAATTTATGCCAATAAATCTGATTACTTAAGATGAAATGAACAGATTTCTTGAAAGACAAAATTAATACAAAATTAATAAGGCTTACTCAAGAAAAAAGAGATAATGCTAAGATTACTCTAAAGAAATTAGTTTGTAGTTAAAAACTGCCCAACAAAGAAAACTCCAAGCACAGAGAGCTTCACTGGTGAACTCAACCAAACAGTTAAGAATGATATAATAATCAAAGCTATGATAAAATCTACCAGAAAACAGAGGAGAACACTTTCCAACTCTATTCTATGAAGACAATATTATGCTAATTAAAGTCATTGCAAGAAAACTACAGACCACTATCTCTCATGAATGTCGTCATAAAAACTCTCAACAAAATATTAGCAAATTGAATCCAGCATGCAGTTGGTTCAACATTCAAAAATCAATGTCATTCACCCTATCAACAAACTAAAAGACAAAAACCTTATGATCTCAATAGATGTAGGAAAAGAGCACCTGACAAAATTCAACATCCATTCACAACATAAACTCAGCAAACCTAGGAATAAAACCCTTACACAAGGTCCTCAACCTTATAAAGCATATCTCTGAAAAACCTGTAGGTTGAATGTTTCCCCCCAAGACAAAGAACAAAGCAATAATGTCTGATCTTACCACTCCTATTCAACATTGAACTGAAGGTCCTAGCTACTATAATAAAGCAAGAAAAAGTGATAAAGGCATATAGATGAACAGAGAATTAAAGCTGTCTTTTATTTGCAAAAGACACGATGACCTACACAGACAATCCCAAAGAATCTGCTAAAAAGCAACTAGAACTAATAATATGTGACTTTAGCAGGGCCCCAGGGTACAAGGTCAATGTATAAAAACCAACTTTACTTCTACACACTACCAATGAACAATATGAAATTAGAATTTTTAAAAAGCAACTTTCACAATAGCATCTAAAAAATCCATAATATATTTAGGTATAAATCTAACAAAGTATATGCAAGATCTGTATGCTGAAAATTACAAAATTTTGATGAGAGAAATTAAAGACTCGAATATGAGGGTACTTCAAAAAGTTCACGAAAAGATTCATATTATCTTTAAATTCAATTTTTCTGCAAACTTTCTAAAGCAACCCTCATAAATGGAGAAATATAATATTTTCATGAGTTGGAAGACTCAATGTTGAGAAGATACCAAATGTCTCCAATTTGATCTATACATTCAATGCAATCACAACTGCATTGTGATTGAACTGAAAGCCCAGCATACTTTTTTGTAGAATTGACAAGCTGATTCTAAAATGTATATAGATAAACAAAGGACCCAGAATACCCAAAGCAATTTTGAAAAATAAATAAATAAATAAATATGAAGGACTCACACTAACTGATTTGAAGAATTACTATAAAGATACAATAGTCAAGTGTGGTGCTAGCAAAATGAGAGACATAGAAATTGACAAAACAGAAAAGAGATACTAGAGGGGCCGGCCTGGTGGCGCACTGCTATAGTGCGCCGCTTGGGAGCGTGGTGGCACTCTCGCCGAGGGTTTGGATCCCACATACAGACCGGTTCCCGCTCACTGGCTGAGCGAGGCGCGGGAGCAACACCAAGGGTTGCGATCCCGTTGCCGGTCCCGGTCCGGTACGGGGGCAACACTGAGGGTTGCGATCCGTTGCCGGACATGGAAAAAGACAAAAAGGAAAAAAAGAAAAGAGATACTAGAAATGGCCCCACACATGTTCAATTTATTTTTTAAAAACAACTTTATTGAGGCATATTTTGCATATCATATAATTTACCCTTTCAAGTAGTTCATAGTCAATTGATTTTTGACAAACTAATTCAACATATAAAGTATAGCCTTTTCAACACATGGTATTGGAACAATTGAACATCCATATATAAAAAATTGAACCTTGACTCATACCTTGAAACATATGAAAAATTCACTCAAAATGGATCACAAACCTAAATATAAAACCTAAAATTATAAAACTCCTAGAAGAAAACAAAATAAAAATTTTATGACCTTGGATTAGGCAATGATTTCTTAGATAGGACACAAAAAGCATGAACTATAAAAGAAAAACTTGTTAAACTGGACTTCATCAAAATTAAAAGATAGTAGATCTTCATAAAGATCTTCAAAAGATACTGTTAATACGAGAGTGAAAAGACAAGTTACAGACTGGGAGAAAACACATGCAAAACAACTATCAGATAAATGATGTGTGCTCAGAATATATAAAGAACTCTCAAAATTCAATAATTAAAAAAATTAAATCAATTTTAAAATGGGCAAAAAGAAAAAGATAGCAAAGAAGCACATGAAAAGTTATTAGGGAAATGCAAATTAAAATCACTATGAGATGTACTATAAACCTATTAGAATGATTTTAAAAACAAAAACTGACACTACCAAAGGCTAAAAAGGATATAGAACAGCTAGAATTCTCAAACAGTGCTATAGGAATACAATATGATCCAGCTACTTTGGTTTAGAAGTTTCTTATGAGGATAAACATATACTTACCATATGACACAACAATCTCATTCCTAGGTATTTACCAAAGAGAAGTGAAACACAAAGACCTGTACCTAAATGTTTATAGTGGCTTTATTCATAGTAACCAGAAAACTGAAAACAGCCCAAATGTTCCTTAACTATGAACTATGGATTTTTAAAAGTGTGATACATCCATACAATGGAATACTACTCAGCAATAAAAAAGAATAAACTCATACATGCAACAAGACAAATGAATCTCAAAAGTACATTCAAACAGAAATAAGCAAATTTTTTCTGTAAAGGGGAACATGGCAACTATTTTTTGTTTTGTGGATTATACAGTCTCTATTACAACTATTAACAACTCTGCCACTGTAGTGTGAAAGCAGCCATAGACAATGAATGTGTAACATGAATGTAGCTGTGTTCCAATAAAAATCTATATACAACAGGCAGCAGAACTGATATGGCTCACAGGCCCTAGTTTGCTAACTGCCATGCTAAGTCAAAGAAGCCAGACACAAAAGATTACACTATATGATTCCATTTATATTATAATATGAAAAAGGCAATTATTTAAAGACAGAAATCAAATCAGTGGTTGCCAGGGCCTAGGGACAAAGGGAAAGAGGTTGACTACAAAGGGTTATGAGGCAAATTTTTGGAGTAATGGAAAGAAAATTCTATATTTTCTCTGTGATGGTGGTGGTTACATGACTATATATATTTGCCAAAATTCACAATCTGTATACAAAATTCATATACCTCTTGCTGTGGGTTAAATGTGTCCCTCAAAAGCTCATGTGTTGGAGACTTGATCCCCATTATAACAGTGTTAAGAGAGTGGGAAATCCAATTATGATATTTGAAAGGCTATCCAATTATGACCTTTGAGAGGTGATTGGATTGTGAGGATTCTGTCCTCATGAACAGATTAGTCCGTTAATGGTTTAGTGGATTATCATGGATGCAGGGCAGGGGCTTTATAAGTAGAGCACATGAAAGAGGTCTTGCCATCCTTGCCATGTGATTGGCTGCATCACCATGGGACCATCCAGAAGAAGGCCCACACCAGATGCTGGACTTTCCAGCCTCCAAAACTGTAAGAAATAAATTTTGTTTCTTTATAGATTACCCAGTTTCAGGTAGTCTATCATAAGCAATAGAAACAGACTAATACACCTGTATACTTAAAAAGGGTGAATTTTACTATATGTAAATTATGCCTCAATAATACCTAATAATATTTTAATATTTTTAAAAGGGGAGGAGAGGCATTCTTTGGTCCCTGATTCAAATAAACCAAGAGAAGAACACATTTTTTGAGACAATCAAAACCAAGGAAATTTAAACACTAACTAGATATTTGGTGATATTAAAAAATCATTGTTCATATTTTTTAGGTACGACAATGGAATTGTGGTTATTTTTCAAGAAGAAAAAAAGAGAGCCCTTAGCTTCAGAGATATATACTGAAGTACTTACAGATGAAATCATATTATGTGTGAGATTTACTTTAAAATAGTCCAGTTGAGAAGAGGGTAGAGATGTACTGATAATTGTTGGAGCTCGTTGGTGGGTAAATGGGAGTACATTATATTACTTTCGCTACTTTTGTATATGTTTGAACATTTCTACAACAGCCAAGTTGGAGGGGTTTGTTTAAGAAGGAAAAAAAATGTGTGAGGAAGAGATGAAACCACAAAATAGAGATTATGCACTTAATGTCTATGTAGGCTAGGTAGGTAAAATAGTGACATAAACCAGAGTGATAAGTCTGGGACCAAAAGCACTCAAGACATCTTTTAAAAAACATGTGAGCTCCAAACATATGTGCTGGCAACCTCTCTCTTAAGGCCTTAAAACTCTGAGGATACAGTTATACATTTGCACACAAGTGTTTATATCTTTACAAACAATGCACACACAATGTAAAAGAAGTTAAATGTAAAATGAGCTGTTCCCTAAAATCTAGAAAGCAATGAGGTATATACTAATCGTAGTCAAAACACACAACAAAAATACCATATTATGTGGTTCTGGGATAGTCACTAGCATTGTGACCAAACCTGCTTTCACAATCTGTCTTTAGTTGTTAAGAATCATATGCATAACTTAAATGAGAAAATAGGAGCAAAAAAGTGATAGGAGATTTTTAGTAATATAATAGCAGAAAACATATCTGACCATCAGGATAACAATCTATTTTAACTAGGCAGACTGCTAAAGAAGATTATATACCTAAAATTAACTTTGGAAATATTTTTAATACAATATTATCTGAACTTTCTATTTTATAACAGCTTGAGTGGAGATATTATCCAAGAATAAAATCAGAAATTAACCATACCCATGGTTTTCTTCATAATATTGTAGAATACGCCACCCTGCTGAAACATATGAGGAAGTCCTTTTGCATAAGACCATACATCTTCTCCTGTTAAGACAAAAACAGATGCAGTATTAGCAACAAACAAAAGAGTTCCACCCAGGGTTGCTTTAATATGGATTAGCCTAGAACAGAGATTGGAAGACAGAGCTCCTAAATGAGTGAAGCAGCCTGATATAATAACATACAGATAGGATATGGAATGACGGACTGTGACACACTCAAAAATGCATAGCCTATCAAAAGGTGACACAGCCAGGGCCGGCCCAGTGCCGCACTGCTATAATGCGCTGCTTGGGAAGCGCGGCGGCGCTCCCACCAAGGGTTCGGATCCCACATACAGACCGGTTCCCGCTCACTGGCTGAGCGAGGCGCGGGAGCAACACCGAGGGTTGCGATCCTGTTGCTGGTCCCGGTCCGGTACGGGGGCGACACTGAGGGTTGTGATCCGTTGCCGGACACGGAAAAAGACACAGCCACTGTCAAGTGCTGTCTGTCATGGAAGAAAGTAGGCCCAGTGTGTCAAGACCATGTGGCTTTTCAAGAGAAGCCAGACATTCAAGTTTTTAATATAAATTCTCCCAATTTTTCAAAGTAGGAACTAATTCAAAAATATCTTTAAAATTGCATGAGTTAATATTGGGCATATTATACAAATATAAATTTATCTGAAGACTCAGTGCAGCTCAAAGGAAACTAGTTTGCAAACTCTGGACTAGAACAGAAAAGGTTATAGAAAGATAAAATTTTTTAGAATTAGAATATAAAACTGTACATTTTATATTGTTATTAAGTAAAAATAAATGGATGGGACTAGAAAGAAAAATAAATAGACTGAAAATAAGTAATTAATTCTGTATTTTGTTGTTCTAAATTGACTTTTTTAAAATAGAAATTTAGATGAAAAATAACATGTTGAAGAAATTCAGAATAACTTTTAAAAGACCACAAAACAAACCACCGTTTCACAAAAACATTTTTTCAAAAACATCCTTTGACAGTGCCTATTTCAAAAAGAAGTTTCAAATAAAAAGTTAAGAATGATAATCACTGTTAAAGAAGTCAATTAAAGAATGGAAAAACATAAAAGTTGACTTTGGTTTACAGAATATGGTTTTCTGTTTGCTTTTTTGTACTTTCATTATTTTCTAATCTGCTAATGTATATGTACTAATTTTGTAATTAGGAATTTTTTCAGTTAATTTTAACAAAGAAAGGTTAACTTTTGTCTTTCTTACTAGAAGATTATACTGTTGGACCTGAGCTTTGAATGGCGGAGATTGATGAAGCTAATTAATCATTACGTACCTGTAGTCTCTCAGAGTTCTAATCCCTTCCCACATTCATAAACAGGAATATGAATTTGTGTGGCAGTTGACTAACAGTATACCAGTTTAAAGTATATAAATTTTAAAAGCCTTGGCACTTAAAGTTTCAGTTAACCAGAACATTTACTTTCACATAAACACTTTATTTACTAATGATTCATATATACTAGAATGGCTAGTATATAAGTAAGGGTAGACACACAATTTTAACCTAAAAATTTGAATATTAATAAGAGCACTCAAATACAGAAATATTAATAACTCCTGGCAGGAACTCTGCTGAACTTATCGTTAAACTTCATTTGGATAAATTATTTCTATAGCGATAACCTTTCCTTTAGTTATTGTGAATGTTATCCTAAATGTACTTAGTACTTTCTAAAAATATTCTAAGATATCATTTACTTAGAAGACATATCAAAAAATTACATAGTAGCACTTAATTCTTTGGTAAGAATCTAAACAGATGCCAAAATGGTGAACTCCTCAGAATTGACCACCCAAGTACTAAATAAGACAAATCATACTTCTTAGTACTTTACATACCTGACTATTCCTTATTTAAGCAAGCAGATCACTACTCTGCTGCAGTGTTTCTCAACCTTGTTTTCGTTATCTCCCCCAAGGAGCCTTTTAGACATTATTTTCCTATTCCACCCCCCCCCCCATGACATTTGAATACCACAGATATACTGTTTATCTTTTTCCACCCTTCCGAAGCAGTATGGTCCTATTGCTCTATTGTGTTAAGGGAAGGATAAATACCATCTAAGCCTCTGAACAGGCACTTCACATAGTTTATTTTACTCACCACAACTAAGGAAACAAGCAAGGAGCTTGCAGACAAGAACACAAGCTCAGGGAGCTTGAATAACTCCCCCAACATCACACAGCTAGTAAGTGGCAGAGCCAAGATCTGAATTCTGTGTATCATTCTAAAGCTTATGCCATTTCCTCTGATACTAAACCTCTTCTAGAGGTCAAGTTATGTAACAACAAATTTGATGGAACTATCCTTCATCTTTTCTTACAGAAACTCAACGGCATCAAGACTGGCTGGAGGAAAAAAAATAGATGAATTATTTCCTTTGGTATGCAAATGTATCCACTGAAATCATGTTTGTTGGTAACAGAAACAAGGAAAAGGATTAGAGATCAGGAACCAGGGGTTGTGACACTTTGCATAAGTCCCCCACCAGTCGCATATGACTCACTCTCCTCACTGCATTTCTCTCCATCTCTCCTACTATTGCCCTGGTTCAGGCCTCATCTCCTGCCTGGATTAACTGTCACTGCCTCATAACTGGTTTCCCCTCAAATCTTGTCTTCTTCAAATCCTTCCTCCATACAGCCATCGGAGTTAAACCTTTAATGGTTTCCCAAAACCATATGGCCCTGTCCAAGTTCCTTTTTCATGGCACACAAGCCACTCTAAGAGTTGGTCCTTGCCTGCCCCTCTCCTCTCACATCATACCTTGCCTTAATTTTTCCAAAGCAGCACCACCAAACTGCTCCAGTTCCCTAATGGCCAATAACAGTATTAGTCATATTCTTTAAAACTCAGTTTAAGTGTTACTTCCTCTAGGATTCTTCAGAGTAGTGGTTAGGTAGGTACCCTTCCTTGACGCCTCTATGTATATGAATACCACAGCCCTTATCACACTGCAGGTGAATTTAGTTTCCTTTTCTGCTTCCCCTTCTAGACTAGAAGATTTTCAGATTCATGGAAAGGTCAGTGACCTATCTGACTTTCTATTCCCAGGGCCTGGCACACTGCTGAACAGAGAGTAGCACTCTTAGTACTGGTAGAATGAATGTACAGAATGAATATTACAAATGAGGTCTTTCCCTTTAAACAATGCCTGAAGGCAGTTCAGAAGAAAATTACAGCAGCATGGCAACTGTTCTTCAATGTTACATCTATAAAAATGGTACCATCTGCTTTCTCTTCAAGAACCTAATAAAACAAAATCATAGCGAAAACAAAGGGAAAGAATTCTTTTTCTGCCATATCATTAGAAAGTAAATTCTTAGAGAATAAGAATAGTTTGGTAAAGCCTCTAGCAAACATTTTGTTAACATATTTTTCTATTGGCTTCCAATTAATTTTGCTTTATAATTCAACTGTTTCTTCACAGTACAACAGTAAAATACTTCCATTCTTAAATAATTTGAAGAAATAGTTCCAAATCTAAAGTAGGAACATGGGTACTGTTTCTACTACAGAGAATCTCAAAGGTGTTCATTTGCTGAAAGAACTGCTGCCATCTCTCCACCCTTCCCATAGATCTCTCTCATCTAAAATGTATCCATAGTTAGTCAAAACGGCTTCTAAGGCATACCTGTTTCTCACCTTATACTCAGTTCCTGAAATATATTCATCCATGCAGCTTTTAGTGTCACCATCAATATTAAAGGACACCCTTATTATACACATATGTGCACACAAACTCAGTCAGGTATGAAACTATATAGACAAGGGTACCCATACACATAAAATCATACGCACACAGAGTCTGAAAGGATACATCCTAAGCTATTAATAATGATTTTCTCTGGGAAGTGCAAATGTTAAGGAAATCTACCATATTTTACTTTATACATACTTGAATTCTTTGAATTCTTAAAAATAATATCCTAATAATATTAAGAAAAATAAAAGGTATCAAAGTAGCTGAGCACAGAAATCAACGTTTATCTTAATCTTCAAAGTATGATTATATAAAATCCCCATTTACAATTACACGCTTAAGATAAATATAAATACATGCATTATTTTTTATTCAACTTTATGACTGTTCCCTCATTACAAATATGTTATGCATAAGTCACTAGAAGGGTGATTAGAAGGCAGATAAAGACTAATATATATAAGTACTATTTCTTTTTTGGGGGGAGGTGGCAGCTGGCTGGTACAACCCGAACCCTTGACCTTGGTGTTATCAACAACAAGCTGTAACCAATTAAACTAAACAGCCAGCCCACATGTAAGTACTATTAGATTTGAATTGTCTTTCACCCAACATTTGAAGGGAAAAAAATCAAGATGCAATAATAATATTCAGATCCAATGTAATCTAAAAAATAACGATCAATCTGAGTACCAAGTGTGATTCTAGAAAATCCTAAGGCATTTACAACATCAAGAGGTATTAAGATATTACAAAATATTGTGCACTTTTAAAATATATTTTTTGGGCCGGCCCATGGCTCTGATCAATCTGAGTACCAAGTGTGATTCTAGAAAATCCTAAGGCATTTACAACATCAAGAGGGATTAAGATATTACAAAATATTGTGCACTTTTAAAATATATTTTTTGGGCCGGCCCATGGCTCACTTGAGAGAGTGTGGTGCTGATAAAACCAAGGCCATGGGTTCGGATCCCTATATAAGGATGGCCGGTTGGCTCACTTGGGAGAACGTGGTGCTGACAACACCAAGTCAAGGTTTAAGATCCGCTTACCAGGACCAGACCACCCTCCCACAACCAGGCACACTGAGCCAGCGCCTTGGGGCCCACCCAGGGACTCACGGTATGGAGTCGGGGACTGGACCACCCTCGCACAACCAGGCACACTGAGCCTGCACCTTGGGGCCCACCCAGGGACCCAGAGTATGGAGTCGGGGACCAGACCACCCGCCCACAACTAGGCACAACATGCCACCACTTAGGAGCCCACCCGGGGAGCTGGGGCAAGGAGAAGGGGAATGGTCCTC